ATTGTTGAAACCCTTACTTCGTGGAATGCACTCATTTCAGATAAAATAAAACGTTTAATTTTATCTACAGAATTAAACTTTATTTTGCAAATAGGTAGGTACTTATTAAACTTTTGTTGGTTATATATAACCAATAAAATAAACATCTTACATTTCTTGCAAATTCATTAGTACCTGTTAACCTCCATCACTCCGACACTGGCAACCTTATTTAGGGATTAGTAACCCTCACAACTATTGTATTCTATTCTACTCCAACCTTTATACCTGGTGGTCATACTCAATTTTAAAATTGTTTTCCTATATACTTCTGTAAACTTGTTGACAAATATCTGTTTTTCATTGAGTCACCCGTATCAACAGTTTAGGGATTTGCATACATAATTTATTGTTTTATTACTCTCTCATATATAAAAATACACTATAGTCGCTACATGGTCAAAAAGACCGCACGTACTAAAAATTGCTAATATTTCGGAAAAAAATTACATTTGGCAACCACGGCCTTCAGTAGCTTACTCATTCGATTCGATACAAGGAGCGTCAGTACTAAATCAGAGTGGCGGGAGATTTGTTGATTAGGTGTTACAGCGCAAAGGTCATAATTTCCGCGCAGGTCTAGTTAGCTAAAAAGTTTTTATAAATCGTTTTATTGTGTTTCTTATCACCTTAAGGTATGTATAAACGCTAGTTTTTTTTAAATAATATACTATTATACTTTTGTCTTATTGTTTAGTAACCTTTTGAATATACCTCTCTTTCTTCTACTATGTAATTAGTCATCTAATTTTAAATTACTTTGCAGCAAATTACTATTACGATATTTCATAATTTTCTTTATTCTATTATTTAGAATCAAATATTAATTTTTTTAAATTTTAAGCTACAAACTGTTATATATAACTTGTTTGGCTTTATTTTTAGAATGGACTATGAGAAGGAACAAAGGAGACTTCAGGCCCTCATGGAAGAAGAACCGCTTGATATAGAATATGACGACGACGATGACGAAAATGAAGTAAATCCGAAAGTTATTGATAAGAGATCGGAAGATTCGTGAAGCGAACAAGAACAGGATTTAAACGAAATAGGAGAAGTTTTACTGAAGAATGTACAAGAAGATAGTGTTTTTAGGGGAAAAGATGGTACAGTGTGGAGAAATCATCAAATAAAAAACAAAAGGGTACGTATGAGCGAGCCTAGTTTAGTAAAACATTCAGCTGGGCCTAATCGATTTACGAAAAAGTTAAAAGATATTTTTATGAAATATGGAGTTATTTCATTGATGAGGACATGATTTACATAATTGTAGCATCTACTAATAAATACAATAAAAGTATAGCAAGCAATTTCTCTAGGGAGAGGAGTGCAAAGCTTACAAACTCATCTAAAATTCGCGCTCTATAAGCCTTTTGTATTTGGCAGGGACATATAAAGCCCATCACCTGAATACAGATGATATCTGGCAAACTAATGGCGAAAGTATTGAAATATTTAGACTAGTTATGTCCTTATCCCGATTTCGGTTTCTTCTAAGATGCATTAGATTTGATGATAAGGTCGATCGTGAAGAACATAGGAGACTGGATAAGATAATTCCTAGAAAACTGTAAATCGCAAACTTTAACATGCGATGAAATGCTTTCTGTATTTTTAGGGAATTGCCCTTGGATACAATATATTCCAAGCAAACCCTCAAAGTATTGGCTCAAAATGTTAAGTTTATGTGATTCTGAAATGTATTATACCATAAACATGGAGGTTTATGTGAATCGTCAACCAGATGGCCCTTTTACTGTAGAAAGCTCCCCGAAAGAAAATGCAAAAAAATGTGTGCGCCAATAAAGAATTCTGGGCGCAACATTAGTCTAGATTATTGGTTCATAAGCATTCCTCTAATATATGTTTAAAAAATAAGAATTTTTCAACCTCCGGGATACATTTCTCAGGTGCGGGTTAAATTTTATTACCATCCAGAAGACCAATCGGCCTGAGAATGGAACCATCATTCCAATAGGAGAGTTGACTCCGGGACAAGAAAATACAAAACTAACAACATGGCTTGCTAACAACCAGAGCAGAAAAGACCAGGATAAAACTTAGGATTTGGTGACAAAAATTGTTCTTTCATATACCTAATGTAACACTGTAGCAAAAAGTCGAATAATTTTTATTTAAATTCAATACGATACTTAACATTTATTTTTCTGTTTTCATTATATTTTAATAAACATGTGTTAATTTAACTGTGTATTGTTTCTTCTTTTTACTTGTTTGTGTGTGTTGCTCCAGAGTAGGCCATATTCACGTCCTGAGTGAGCTAGCCAGGGAGTGTTTCGTATAACGTCTAATGTAGCAATTTTGTAATTGATACATTAGGGGTTATGACGTTAAAAATTGGTCCCAACGGGAAACGATTTGTCACTCCAACGTTGTTAGTGATGTTAGTTAGGTTGTAGCAGCAAACTAAGGTTTGCGGTTACAGGTTGACAACAGCAGCTCAACGTTGGGATGTTACAAATTGAGCCTCGAAGGGTTACAAATTGGCACCCAATGAATATTTGTTGGCACGTCATAGATTGACGTTCAATGATTGTTCGTTGCAACGTTACAAATTGGCGGGAAAAAGAGGATCGAACACTACTCACAACTTTTAACTGAAACAAGACCTCAATTCACGAACATCAGTACAACAACATATGAACTGGAATTCAGTGAAGACGATGAAATAACAGTACAGGAAGTCGAGAATGCAATACGAACTCTAAAAAAATAGGAAGTCATGCGGACCACAAGGTATACCAAATGAATTATTAAAACATAGCCCACAAGTATTACGGGAATTACTGGCGTATGTCTTCACCTTATTCTATAATGGACACGACTTACCACCGGAGTGGACAAAAGCACATATTAACAACATATACAAAAAAGGAGATAGAAAGAATTTTTCAAACTATAGGGGGCTAAGTGTCATAAATTCACTCTCAAGACTGTATGGAAAAATAATAAAAAATAAAATTGAAAAAGAGATGACAGATGTAGAAGAACAGAATGGCTTTCGTGCAGGGAGATCCTGCATGGACAGTATATTCTCTCTAAAGCAAGTTATCGAAAAAAGATTAGCCCACAACCTTTCAACTCATATAGTTTTTATGGATCTGACAAAGGCATACGACAGTGTACCACTTTCAATGCTTTGGGTAGCAATGGAAAAATAAGGAATAAGCAAAAAAAATATACAAGCAGTACAACAGCTCTACAAAAATATGACGGCAAACATTAAAACTGGAAATAGATTAACTAGAGAAATTCCTATTAGTAAGGGCCTAAAGCAAGGCTGCTGCATAGCACCTACACTCTTCAAAATATATCTAAATGAGGCACTCTCACTGTGGAGAAGAAAGTGCTGCAATATGGGCATCCCAATCGGAGATGATAGATTGTACACGATACATTTCGCTGATGACCAAGCCATTCTAGCTGAAGACGAGAGTGATATAAGCTACATGCTTAGAAAACTGGAAGATGAGTACACCAAATGGGGCCTCACAATTAATATAAAAAAAAACTGAGTACTTAGTTGTAGAAGAACAACCAGAAAGCCTAAAATAGAAATGGGAACTATAAAACCAACAGACAATTTTAAGTACTTGAGAGTCCAAATAACATCAAAAGCAAGAAGTAGTGAAGAAATACATTCCAGGATTGGCCAAGCAAGATCAGCCACCAGACAGCTACACGGACTATTATGGAATAAAAAATTAACAAAAGAAAATAAAAGAAGAATTTATAAAACAATAATAGAAAGTATTGGACTGTATGGCGCCGAACTCTGGGAAATAAACCAAAGAAACAAATCAAAAATTAAGGCCATGGAAATGAATTACTGGAGACGATGTTGCCAGCTCACTAGACTAGATAGGGTGAGAAACGAAGATATTCGGAGAGAAATGGAAATCGATCTTGACATAATAGACACAATAGAAGCCAAAAGACCTAACTGGTATGGACACCTTCAGAGAAAGCCGGAAAATAGATGGCCAAAAAAAAATAGAAGAATGGACTCCGCCAACTAGAAGAAAACGAGGTAGACCAAGACGATCCTGGAGAGACGATGTCGACGATGCAATGACCGCCAGAGATCTAACAACTGAAGATTGCTTCGACAGAAAACGCTGGAAATTAGGATGCGAGAAGCGGCGCCAGCTGTAGAAAACTCGCTTGTTATATTATTAAATAAAAAAAAAGAATTGGGATTGACTGTTGTGGGGACCATTAGAAAGAACAAAAGGGAACTGCCCCCTGAATTACTTCAAGGATCTCGTCCTATAAAATCAATTATGTTTGCCTTTAGCGATACATGTACCTTAGTGTCGATTATCCCCAAAAAAAAAATTGTTGTATTGCTTGTTTCAAGTCTATATAATTATCACCTCGATTTAAATGGAAAGGGTCTAGTGCTATAAGTGAGTAAAAGTACGGAAATGCAGCTAAAGTGTACACCTTAACTAGTAGTACTATAATGTATTAGAGCCTAAGAAATATTGCTGAATGTAACCATAGATAAATTTTTGTAATATTTTTTATATAGAGCTAACTTATTGATCATAGTGAATGATTAGATAACTATAATCATTCCTGTTGGAGTTTTATTAAATAAAAAAAATTAAATTCCTCTTCTTTTTTGCTATTTGTCGTACATTAAAATTTTATCTCCCATTCGTTTCAGACAGAGACCACATTTGTTTATCAAAGAAAGTCAGAAAGGTTTTAAACAGTCACTTACAATATAAGGTTAAATCTTACTCGTACGAGATAAAAATAATAATAATATATCTTCTTCTCTGCTAATACATATGAGTTAATCACGATTTGTACCGACTTATTAGAAATAAGGCAAAAATAATTGTTGTTAAATTTTTATTATATAGGACATTTATTGATATTGATTGAGTAATAAATTAAATACGTTCTATGCAGCTTATAGAATATTTTCATTAGCAACCACCTGCTTCAAAAGCTTTAATCTTGTTTAAAATAGGTGCAACCAAGAGAGATTCAGAGTCACGATGGTTAATAAAATTTAGATGGGTCCATCGAGGATCTGACATTATTGTTACTCCACATCTATACTCAGGTTTAAGTAATTCTTGTAGCCGAAGTCCATTCTGAAATAAACAAAAAGGTATAATCAAGTTAATATAGATATAATAATTGAATCAAATTGAAATAAAGTTGGAGTGGAGTAAATTTTACAAATATTTACAGAGGAGTATGACAATATTTCATAGAAATGAGGAGAAAAAATGAAATCCTAAAAGTTACTCAAACATTTTACGGTGATTTATATTTTTCAAACAAGAATAGATACCAGATAACTCTGCTAGATGTCAACTCAGAAATACTCCCCAATATAGAATTCTTGAGTGATGATGGGAATGAAAGTTTGACATTACTGCTCTTCAAAAAAGAAGACATGGTAGATCTGAAGAACTATAGGCCAATCTCCCTACTACCCCAAATGTACAAACTGTATATGAGAGTAATAACTAACAAGTTAACGTCGAAGCTCGATAGCTATGAACCGGTAGAGCAGGCAAGATTCCGAAAGGGTTACAGTACAGCGGATCATTTTCTTACAGTCAGAAGTCTAATAGAGAAAGCCAGTGAATATCACTTAAACTTATACGTTGACTTCGTTAACTATGAACAGGCATTCGACTTCATAGAACTTTGGGCAAGAGAGCTATGAGCAACTGCATGATATAATCCCGCTCAGATTGTTCATACATAATATTTATAAGAAAGCTACAATGAAAACACAACTAAATGCGAAAATTAAAGCTATACCAATCAACAGAGGAGTTTGTCAGGAAGGTATTATCTCACCAAAGCTAGTCACACTCGGACTGAAAGACTTGTGTTTAAAGACAATAACTGGGCAGTTAAGGGCTCCTGCCTAGGGTTACAGACGAAGGTCAACGGTGGACGGAACAAACGAGATTGACTCGAAGTGTACGAGTGAAATCCAATGGTCCCGAAAGCGGAAGAACCGAGTTAAGGGAAGACTAGTCTCTACAGTCCTGAAAGACAACTAGTCTAGGGGAAGAAAGCCTTGATTAAATATTACCCGGTCCTCCTGGAGGGGGTTAAGTCATAGGGCCAGCACCGGCATACTAGTAGAAATCCTATAAATGCTAATAATCCTAGTACTATGTCTCGGAAAACGGACGGACTCAAACGAAGACAAAACTCGCTACGGATAAGGAAAATGATTTGGGCATCATGGAAAGTCCAAGGATTAAGAAATAAAACGAAAGGTATAATGAAAAGCTTGAAGAAATGAAGGTTAAAGAAGCAGTGCTCACAGAAACCAAAAAGGAAGGAAACGGGATTGATCAGCAGTCAGACTTTTTACATATACACAGTGGAGTTCCAAAAAATAACAGGGCTTCGAAAGCTGTATCAATATTGATACATAAAAAATATCAGAAAGGTCTTACTAGCTGGGAAACAATAAATAAGAGACTGGCCTCAGTAAATATTACCATAAAAGGACATAAATTAACAATTATAGGAATATAATATGGTGTAAACCATGACGCAAATCTAGCAGAAAAAGATCAATTTTATGACCTACTAAACGAAACCCTTATAAAAGTGAGAAACGAGAGAGATATAATACTTCTGGGGGATTTTAACTCGATAGTAGGAAAAAGGAAGAAAGATCCTGTAATCGGAAGATATGGTGAAGAGGCTGAAAATGATAATGGTAGACGACTAATTGAATTATGCCAACAACACCAGCTAAGAATATGGAACGGTTATTTCAAACATAGAGATATACATAAATACACTTGGCACCAAGACACTAGAAACATAAAATCTATTATCGACTATGTTATTACAAAACAAAACGCTAAATTAAACATCCAGGACACTAGGGCTTAGAGGGGTAAGAATGTGGATTTGACCATAATTGGTTGCGGCTAAGACTCTAATTCCATTTAACTGACACGTTGAAAGCATCAACACTCCAAAAGGAACTGATATAAATCTGAAGAAATATAATGCCATAAGCCTACAAGAATATAGCACGAAAATCTTATACCAAAATAGATTAAATGAAAAACTACTCGAGGAATACCTAACTGCTGAAACCACCCAACTATACGAACATATAACTAACTGTATTCACCACGCAGTCCAAGGAGCTCTAGGCGAAGAAACCAGAACAGTCCACAGATCAGCGGCAAAAATCACTTGGAATACACAGCTTGAAGAGCAAAGAAATTAAAAACAAGAAGCGTACAAAAGATGGCTGAACACTAAGAATCTTGAAAATAAAGAAATATACAAAGAACAGCAAATAATATTTAAAGATATGACACGGAACAACAAAAATGAAACATGGGATGCAAAATGTAAAGAAGTTGACTGTTACATCGGAGGAGCGCGATCATCAGCGGCAGGAAAATTAATAAAAATCCTGAAAACCGACACATCAAATAAAAGTCGAATACAACCCATCCAGATAGATACATGGAAAGATCATTACGCAAGGGAACTGAATGAAGACAGAGATATTTATAATACTGACTCACCTCAACCAATATGAGTACAAGGTGAATATGTAAACGTATACAAAGAACAAATACAACAAGCGCTTAAATCGACTAATAATAACAAAGCATCCGGGCCGGAGAATATACCAGCAAAAAAACGAAACACCAAAACTAATAAGCTTTCTTAAAGTGCTATTCACAAGATACTTAAATGGGGAAGAAATCACGAATAGTTGGAAAGAAGCATGGATTACTCCAATTCACAAAAAAGGTCCAAAAGATATTTGCGGAAACTACAGATGTATCCCTGTCACCAGTACCTTTAGCAGGCTGTTTGGTATAATCTTAAAAAACATGATTGAGAAAGAATACAAACCTTATGAAAGTGAACAGCATGCAGGATTTAGAGCTGGAAGACCTTACGTAGACCACATATTTACCCTAACACAACTGAATGAAAAGAAAGTTGCAAGAAACCAGGAAATACTTGGAAATAAAATCTTTTATTTGTGGATCTCACAAAAGTATATGACACGATTCCTGTGAGAAAGCTGTGGCAGTCTCTTGAACGATCTCTATTAAATACCACGATCATCGCCGCAGTCAAACAATTATACAATAAAGCATAATCAAAAATCAAACTAAACAATACCTTATCAGAAGAATTTCCAGTAACAAAAGGCTTACGACAAGGATGCTGCCTCTCTCCAATTCTATTTAAGATCTATTTAAATAAAGCACTAAAACACTGGAGAAGAGCCTGTTCAGGAATGGGGATCCAACTTGGCGACGATACAACATTATACACTCTACATTTTGCGGACGACCAAGTAGTAGTGGCAGTAGACAAGGAAGATTTAGAATTCATGACGAGACGGTTGTTTAAAACATATGAGGAATGGGGCCTCTCTGTAAATAGAAACAAAACGCAATACTTATGCATCGGGAATAAAGTAGAAGATCTAATGGTCAACGAACATGAAATTATCAAGAACTGTGAGGAATATATATATTTAGGAACAACAATCAACAAGAGTAGGCGCACCGAAAAAGAGATAGAGCAAAGAATCGTGAAAGGAAAAAGGGTGATAGGAAGCCTAAACCCGATGCTATGGTCAAAAGAACTATCAAATCAAAGACAGCATCTCCTCTTTAACTCCATCTTTTAAAGTATAGTGCTCTATGGATGCGAAACATGGTAACTTACTAGATCCCTTGAGCGACGCCTACTTGCATTGGAAATGGACTTCTGGAGAAGATCAGCTAGAAAATCAAGGCTTGATACAAAATGACCATAACAGAAATATAATGGGAGTCAAGTCAACCATCATTGACGAAATTCATAGAAGACAACTGATCTGGTATGGTCATGTGAAAAGAATGGACGACGACAGGCTGCCAAACAAAATTTTAAAATGGACGCCAAGGGAAAGAAGGAAGAGAGGAATGCCAAAAACAATCCTGACTGGGTGGCATTCAGAAGGCAATGTCGGAAAGAAACCTTCACCCTGGCGAATGGAATGACCGACGTAACTGAAAACTGGGAACCGGAAGGTGGAGAACGCTATAAAAAAACCGGGATAATAATATTAACTGGGCAGGTTAAGAAATAAATGTTAATAAACGAAAACTGAGTTATTTGAGATACGCTGATGATATAAGAACATTCGCTACTAAACAAGTTTCGAAAAACTACAGACCATAATAACGCAACTATTTCAAGCTTCGGAAGAAGTAGGTTTTAAGATGAACTTGGAAGAAACAAAAATAATGACAAATACACCAAAGATTGGAGAAATACGTTGAACGTTGAACGACATAAATTTAGAAATATTATGCGAATACATCTAGGTGCCTAGAACAGATAACAAAAGTTAACAAAGAAAATCAACCTTTCGAAATTACCAGAAGAATAAGATTAGCGTAGGCATAATTTAGAAAACTTAGTTGGGTCCTGAAAAGCACTAAAATAAAACAATATTTGAAAACCAGAATTTACTATCAGTTTATCCTTCCTATAATTACGTATGGTTCACAGACGTGGACACTCACCCGGTCTAATATGGATAAAATAGTAAAAGCACAAAGAGCGATGAAAAGATCAATGCTCGCGGTAAGACTTAAAGACAAAAAAACAAATGGATGGATTAGAAGCAAAACCAAAGTAACAGACGCAGGAAAACAAACTGATAAATTAAAATGGAGCTTCGTAGCACACAATGTCCGACTGAAGAATAAAAGATGGAACCACAAAATACAACAATAGAGGCCATGGTTAAAAAAGAGAAGCAGAGGAAGACCATAAGGCTGATGACATTAATAAGATTGGAGGCTATAACTGGAAGCGAGTGGCACAAAATAGAAAACACTAAATTGATTTAGGGGAGACCTGTGTATAAAGTTGAATTACTTAAGGCTAAAGAAGAAAAGATGACAATATCGCATTTGATGATTCTTTACTATGTATTATGTGTTATCGAAAATACTAAAAATTTTGATCTAGTAATTAAAAAAAAAATAAAACACTAAAAAATTGGTAGCCAAAACAAACCAATCACCTTTCCCAAAACCATTTATAGCAAATTAAATATTAGGAGAAAAAAATAATTTAAAATTATTTGAAAACCAGCGTTTTTTGTACTGTCATCTTTATGTCTTATTAATATATAATACTTAACTTTTGACTAATTATACAAATTATACAAAAATATTGTTTTATAAATAAATTATTCTAATATTACTCACCTCTGCGGTACATAGTATATCATTTCGTCCAAGAAACTGTGCAATTTTGACCTTAATTTTTGAAAAATCATACTCTGGTGGTTTAGGTGTTCCATATTTTTTACGATTTAGAACTGGACCATAATCATAGGATGCAAATCTTTCGGAAAGTACTATTTGACCGTAATGCTGGATTGTTTTTGCACTGTTTGTATCATAAACAAGTTTCAAGAATAATGGAAATTTGTCCTAAAAATAAAAATTTATTATATATATCATCATCATCAATCAGCCCTGAGTTGTCCATTGTTGAACATAGGCCTCCTCTAGACTTTTCCATCTGCTTCTGTTCTGCGCCTCTGCTATCCAATTGGTCACGATTCTTTTGAGGTCGTCGGTCTATCGCGTTGGGGGACTTCCTCAGCTTCCATTGTAAGACCGTGGTCTCCACTCAAGAAATTTTTTTGTCCAATTGTTGTCTTTTATTCTTGCAACATGTCCTGCCCATCTCCATTTTTGCATTGTGATATGTTCGATAATGTCTTCCACTCCGGTTCGTCTACGAACTTCCTCGTTTCTTAATCTATTTCTTAAGCTTATTCCAAGCATTGATCTCTCCATCTTTCGTTGTGTCCTTCTCAATTTTTTGGCTGATGTTTTTGTGAGAGTTAAGGTTTCTGCTCCGTATGTGAGGACTGGTAGAACGCACTGGTTAAAAGATTTTCTTTTTAAATGGATCGGTATATTTGTTTTAAATACGTCTCCCATTTTTCCGAATCCAGCCCAACCCAGACTTATTCTTCTGAGTAGCTCGCATGTTTGGTTATCTCGCGTTAACCTTATTTCGTGACCCAAATACACATATTTTTCCACAAGTTCTATGGGCGACTTTTCGATTTCTATTAGCTCATTGGGGATGAGATTAGTCATCATTTTTGTTTTTCCATAGTTTATTTTTAAACCGACGTTCTGGGTTACTTGCTATAGTTGTTGTAGCATAACTCTGGCTTCTCTCAAGTTGTCTGTTATAAGAACAATATCATCGGCATATCTGAGATGATTGAATATCTTTCCATCGCTGCTAATACTAATTGATTCATACTCTAGCCGTTTAAATGCGTACTCCATAACTGTTTTCGCTCCATAAATAGTTTTCGCGACAAGGTATCTCCCTGCCGGGTGCGGCAGGGAGATTATATATAAGGTTCTTGAACTCCGAAGTGGAGCATAGAGCTTAAGGGAAAACGCGCCATCGGGTTTTATTTTGCGCTAAGGCCTTCACCTCATTCCAAGACTTTTTTTGGCCTCTTATCTCGTCCATGATAGATCTTCTTCAAGTTTGAACTGGGCAACCTCTTTTTCTTTTCCCTTGGGAATTTCACTCTAGGGCAGTCTTTGCGATACTGGAACTATTTTTTCGGAGTGTGTGACCGATCCAACCCCACTTACTGGACTTAATTTCATTTTGTACCCTCTTTTGTTAGGTCAGGTGTAGCAGATCTTCGTTTCTGATGGTGTTTAGGACAGAATATACGAACAATTATTCTCAGTCATTTTTTAACAAAGACCTACAGTTTGTCTGTAAGGGTGTTTGTCACTGTTCAGGTATCACATCCGTAGAGTAGAACAGACATGATATTTGATCGGAATATTCAGATCTTTGTCCTTGTAGTATACTCGCCAGATCTACAAACAGGGTTAAGTGTGCTGAAAGCTTGTTGGGCTTTTTGTATCCTCATACGAATATCGTCTTCTGTACCTCCGTTTTCTGATGACACTTCCAAGATACGTAAAGTTTTCCATATTTTCAATCTGAATATTATTGACAGTAAATAGCGTGTTGTTCCTTGCATTTATTCTTATGGACTTGGTTTTACTAATATTGATTTTCAAACCTATTTTATTGGCTTCAGTGGAAAGTGTTTCCAATTAGTAAGCCAGATCTTGGCACCTTTGACCTAATAGGCTAGATTGCTTAGGCGTGTGGTTAACGTCCATTGTATCCCTCTTGTGTCGGAGTTTAGTTTGGAGAGAACATTGTCTATAGCTATGTAAACATTCGTCGAAAGAGAATATTTTGGCAACGTGACAAGATGCTAACAATCAACTTATGACAGAAGCTCTTACGAGAGATAAATTAGAATTTATTATATCAAATTTTCATCTGTCAGATAACTCTACCTTAGAACAAGAAGATGAATTTGCAAAAGTCAGGCCTTTGTTTGTAAATTTTAATAAAAAGTTTATGAAGTATGGACATTTAACGGCAATGAATTCTGTAGATGAAGCAATGGTTCCGTACTTTAGAAGGCATTCATGCAAACAATTTATACATGGTAAACTCATCAGATATGGTTACAAATTATGGGTTGGTACATCACGTCTTGGCTATATTTACTGGTTTGGACCATACCAAGGATCATCAACTAATATTAGTAAAAATGTATACTGATTATGGAGTCAAACCTATTTTATTGGCTTCAGTCGAAAGTGTTATCAATTAATAAGCCAGATCTTGGCACCTTTGACCTAATAGGCTAGATCGCTTAGGCGTGTGATTAACGTCCATTGTATCCCTCTTGTGTCGGAGTTTAGTTTGGAGAGAACATTGTCTATACCCATGTTAAAAAGAAACGGAGAAAGCACGCATCCCTGTCCAACTCCAGTAATTACGTCGAATTCGTCACTGTTGATCACATTGTGTGTCATGCTGCATTTCGCATCAATATATAGTGACTTTATAATAGAAATTATTTTTTGCGGGATGTACAAGGGATGTTTCTTAGCTCTAAAATTTTCCATACAGCAGCGTGAGACAAGCTATCAAAGGCACATTCAAAATCAACAAAAACTATGTGTAGGGGTGTGTTCCATTCAACCGATTGTTCCATTTTCAAAAATGTATTAGCCAGATTAAAAGTAGTTGTCCATAGTTACATGTTGTCCAGTAGCACTACAATATCTTAAAAGTCTTGTTACAACACTATGGGCAACGCTATTCAGTTCATATGGACCAGTTGGTGGTTTACCTGTATAAATTTCAATGTTATGTGTATAAAACATTCGAGAGTCTACAGCAGCGTAGATTTTTATGCCATATTTCGCAGGTTTATTTGCAATATACTGGTGAAACTTGCATGTCCCTCTGAAATCTCCAAGCCTGTCATCCACTGTTATGTAACTACCCACCGAATAATGTTGCAAACACTTTCCAACACAATTATTTAGAACGTATCGCACAGGCGCCAAATGATCTTCTTAGACTCTTTTCTCTAGATTCAATATAATCAAACCTAATAGCTTGTACCAAAGAGTAAAAACGACTTTCTGACATAGTAACAGCAAAGTATTATGGGGCCGTTTCGTCAGTGCTTATAAGTTCTGAAGTATTTAAATGTTTTTGGGTATGTAATGTATGTAATGTAATGTATGTAGTGTAATGTATGTAATGTAATGTATGTAATATAATGTAATGTATGTAATGTAATGTAATGTAATGTATGTAATGTAATCTATGTAATGTAGTGTATGTAATGTAATGTATGTAATGTAATGTATGTAATGTATGTAATGTATGTAATGTATGTAATGTAATGTATGTAATGTAATGTATGTAATGTAATGTAATGTAATATAATGTAATGTATTGTATGTAATGTAATGTATGTAATGTAATGTATGTAATGTAATGTATGTAATGTATGTAATGTATGTAATGTATGTAATGTATGTAATGTAATGTATGTAATGTAATTTATGTAATGTAATGTATGTAATGTAAATGTATTTATTTAAATGGGCTCTTTTTACATCAGCCAGATATAAAAGCCCGACAAATGCACTTATTTCATCAAAATCTGTAGGATTGTAATGTTTTGCGTTTCTGGTGAGTCTAATTTTTTTAAGTTTCTCGTTGGTATAATCTGTAATAATGATTTCATCCGAGAAAAAACTGGTTTTTCCAACTTTGTTTTGATTTTGGTGTCTGTGGTTGATCACCAAAAATTGATGTCTGTGGTTCAACTTTACCCCGCTTGTGCTTACGAAGGTAAGGAACTCTGTTTAAAACTTCAAAAAAGCAAAGGGAATTATACTTACAGGAGCAACTGAGTTGTAATTCCAACCTACAAATAAAGCATGAACCATGTCCCACATATTATACAAAATTGGATCACTGGATATTATTTCAAATACCGAACCAATATCTTTTCTTAGAGGAAACTTTCCGTTCCATAATCTTAATCCTAATGGCTAAAAGCACAAAAATAATATTAATCCAAAAAGAATACAAAATAAAAGTATATATCGTGGGCTTACTGCAAAAATCTGTCAAAACCATGTTTGGTCATTTTTCGGGTTTGTTCATAGAGAGCATAAGAGAAAAAAATATTTTTATTATTTTTTATTAAAGCTTATCCTCGAAAATCCTAACATTAAAATTCAGTGCCATATCTATTTCAAAAACATCTTTCTCTACGAGAACAAAATCCATTCACGAAGAATATTCTAAACGTCGTCTTGTACTAGAATTTACCTTTATACCTTCTTACAACCCCGTGTGGTGAAAAGTCTTGGGTCTACACAATAAAGCGAGTAGGCAGTCTTCTATTTAGTGCGGTTATGGGGTAATTAGAATAATACGACTATACCAGGGTAATATTACTTCTTGAATAATTTATTCAAAACTTAGCAAGGATAAATACAAACAAGATTTTGAAGACAAACTTTTATAAAACTTCATTACAAAATAATGTATAGGAAGATATTTTGAGATCAGAGTATTTGTTTTTTATCTCTTATATTTTCTTTTGTTTTTTTTTGTTACTTTTTTTTACTGATGTATTAGCTTTTAATGTAGATTACAGTTTGATAATAAATATTTTGAAATGGAAAATATTGAGATGTGGCGAATAAAAATATCCGTGAAGTTAAAATGAAAGAATTTACGTCTATTAGTAGTGCGATTTAAAAAATTGGTACTTAAAGCCCAAATCGCAGAAGGAATATGTGCATCAGTTTTCAGATATTTATTATTTACTATATAATTTCTAAATTGAACCACTTTCACTTCTTTAGGTAACAATGTATCCGTTTTGACAACTAAATACTAAGACCAAATAATGTGTATTATTAATTTTAAAAACAGGAGTTTAAGGAATTAGAAGAAAGTAGTCCGGGCCCAGTTAAAAGGTCAAGCTTATTCCAACGGAAGCAATAATGAGGACTATTTTTTGTTTTTGCTCAGCTGACATGCTCTCTCTAGCACTACAACCCATACAACTGTGGTAAAAAGCATGCTTTTATTTACACGGTTTTGAAACGAGACGATTAAAAGAGACATCGAAGAAAGATATGTCGCCGAACTGGATGCAATAAAGTATGAGAATAGAAGGTACAGTCATGGATGGCATATCACGAAAGCAGCACTATGGTACGGATATGTCCAATAAATGAAAGACAGTAGACTCACGAAACAAGTACCTCTATGAACACCTACAGGAATCCAGAAGGGAGGACTACCTTAGAAAACATGGATGGAAGGAATTAAAAACTCAATGAGCTTGAAAGAACTTAAGGAACAACAGAACTACCGAATTAAATGAAAAATGGACGTTATTTTTATATGTACCTATATTTATTTAATGTACCTCTAATATCATATTATAGGTACATTATTATTACATCATGTTATATATATATATATATATAATATATATATATATATATATATATATATATATATATATAAATAACACAGTTTATTAGGGTTGCAGTCAGAATATTGGCCGGGATGTTAAAAAAACACTCTTTTGACTTTTTTGTCGAGCCTTCGGAATGGTTTTATTCCTTTTTCAAGACACTGCAATAAGACAAAAATGTAAATTTAAAAAAATTTTTTTAAATATTTATTAAAATAATATCCAGTATTTCTTGTATATATATATATATATATATATATATATATATATATATATATATATATGGAAAAGAATAAATCTTTAAGCAAAAAGCTGCTATCGCTTTGTTGTATTAAATTGGCCAAATATATGGCCTAGGAGAACAAATTCGTTAAACTTCCCGTATTCGAATCGGTATCAATAAAGTGTTCTGACTCATTTCGGCCTATCCCAGCCTCATCAGACACTTGGGCTGATACAAATTCAAACTCGGAAAGTACAACGAATGTCTCCTAAAGCTTCACCACTGCAGTGGTTTGTGAGCAGAGGCGCCACCTGCTTTGGCGGCCGTGAACGAGGCACCTATTTGGTTATTACTCTGAGCTCATGTAAAGTAGAAAAGAAAATAATAATTCTGATTGAAATCTTCATCGAGAGGGTATATACTTCTTACCTACTCGTCGGCGAGAATCCAGAAACTATCGACAAAGACAGCCTGTACTGACCGAGACAGAGTAACATTTAGCAGAACTTTGAGATTTTTTAAAAAGTTTATACCAAATAGCTGTTTTGTATTACACTTTATGTTAAAAATAAGAACAGATTCGGAAATGGGGTCAAATTATCTAGTTCCCTATTTAAAAAAAATTTACTAACCAAAAATATTTGAAAAAAAAATTGTTTAAACAATTTATTAATATACAACCAAATAGTTCACTAGAACTTTTTAAGACCCTTCATGTAACAAAAAATTATCTTAATATCTGCCATAGTTTTTGCGTTATTTGGTATAAACTTTTCCATTGGAATTTAGCTATGCCCGGAATCGCGAGGAACGGCCTTAATAAAAAAATTTCTCCTACAAAAATCCTTTTTGTTTATTTAAAACGTTTACATTGTAAAATAATAGCGATCTAGAATGCAAAAGCTACTATTAAAATCAGTTGAGAGCACATGGCCGATATTGCAGAAATATATTATTTACCAGAATGATTCAATGCAATGCAGGTAAAAACCTAAAATTAAAACTTACAATAACTACGGGGTCCAATAAAGCAAGTACCCTTAATATGGATGGTGTATTCTTATACAAGCTTGCTGTTCCAAGACATATGATTCCAAGTAGTTTTTCTGCTGCTTCATCAGGAAATCTAGTTGCATAAACCAAACTCGTTGTGCTTCCCATTGAATATCCTACTATTATTGCTTTTTGTCCATAAGTTATATTAGATACCAATCCTAACACTTTTGGAATATCGTAATAGCCTGCTTCATGCCAACTAAAGAAATATAAATATATTGCAAATGATGTACTTTTTATTCAAAGATATACAGCTCACACAGAGAAAGTAAAAGTAAAAGAAGGTAAAAAGAAATTATTGAGTTAGCATTAGCGTATATTTTCTTCGTCGCATTTATTAAATTCATGCTTATAATTGTTTTCTTAAACGCTTCTCATAATTTATAATGTGGTATGCTAGCATAAGCCTTTCGTAGATCTACATACAATAAATGTACTTCTTGATTAACGGCTATTTTGTTTTCAATAATCTGTGCAATGGAAAACAAACGGTCAACAGTAGACCTACCTGCCCTAAATATTGCCTCTCCCTCAGCCTCTAAGTCTTTATATTCGATTTCTATTCTGTTTCAATTACTTTTTCGTATATTTTACTGACCGAGTTTGTTACGGCAATGCCTCTGTAACTATCATATTCATCCCTTCTGCCTTTTTTGTATATAGTGGATATGAATGATGTCTTCCACTCCTCTGGAGTTGTCTTCCATTAATGCACTTTTGGAACAGTTTGGCAAAACTTGTATATAGTTTGGTTTTACCGTGTTTAATTACCTCAACGGAGAAGACGTTATTATTAGAAATCAAATAGACTATATGCTTGTTAACAAAAGATATCGAAATAGTTTCAACAGTGTTAAAACCTACCCAGGCGCTGATATTCAATCTGACCACAATCCTTTAGTGGGCGTGTATAGAACTAAGTTAAAGAAAATACGCGGAAAAACTGTAAAAAAAAACATGACATGAGAAAACTGAAATGTAGCAAAGTAAAAGAAATAGTCAGCAAAACATTAAATAGAAAATTTAAAGAAATCGATAATACAACGGAAAGCACAGAAGATAAGATAGAATCCCTTAAGGAAACAATAGACGACATTAAAGACAATTTTATGAAGAACGAAGAAGGTAAGAATAAGACATGGATGACGACAGAGATTCTGCAACTAATGGAAGAAAGAAGGAAAAACAAGAACGATAACTCCATGTATAAAACATTACAGCGAGAGATACAGAGAAAGATCAGAGAAGCCAAACAGAAAGAACTGGAGAAAAAATGCCAAGAAATCGAAATTCTCCAAAGTAAATACGACGACTTCAACGTGCATAAGAAAGTAAGAGAAATTACATGTAAATGTAAAAACAGAAAAATAAGTAAACTTGTTAATGACAATGGAGAGATAATCGTGGACAAAGAGAGTATCAATGATACCTGGAAAAATTACATAAGAAATTTATTTTTTGATGAGAGAGAGAACCAGCCCCCAATACCTACGGAAACAGGACCACCTATACTAGTGGCAGAAATAAGAGCAGCCATAATATCACTAAAAGAAGGTAGAGCTCCAGGACCAGACGGAGTACAATCTGAATTTCTTAAACTTCTTGATGATGAATCTTTAAGAGTACTATGTAAAATCTTCAATAACATCTATGACACAGGCAATATCCCAAAAGATTGGCTACTTTCAGAATTTATTACCTTACCAAAGAAACAGGGAGCAAAAAAGTGCGGAGAATATAGGCTAATAAGTCTAATAAGCCATACATTAAAACATTTTCTTAAAATTATTATACATCGTAGAATATACAAGCTATGCGAAGAGAGAATACAAGACACACAGTTTGGATTCATGAAAGGCGTAGGTACAAGAGATGCACTGTTTAGTCTACAAGTATTATTTCAAAGATGCAGAGATATGACTTGCGATATTTACACCTGCTTTGTGGACTACCAAAAAGCATTTGATACAGTTCAACACCAAAAAATGATGGATATTTTAACAATAGCACAAATGGATGATAAAGATCGGCGTATAATACAAAATTTATACTGGAACCAATCAGCCACAATAAGAACGAATTTTGGAGGTGAACCAACGGAAATGATCCAGATTCTACGAGGCGTTAGACAAGGTTGTATACTTTCACCTATATTATTTAATCTATATTCAGAGGAAATATTTAGTGAAGCCTTGGAAAAATGCGAACATGGTATACTTCTAAATGGAGAACGCCTAAACAACATCCGTTATGCAGACGACACCGTTATTTTTGCAGACAGTTTGAACAGTTTACAGCAACTAATAAACAAAGTAAATGAAGTAAGTGAAAGACTTCAAGTAAATATAACAAAAACTAAATTTATGATCATCAGCAAAAATAAAGTTAGAGACGCTCAACTACTTATCAATAATACACCAGTGGACCGAGTAAAACAGTATAACTATCTTGGAACAACAGAAAATGAACAATGGGATCACTCACAGGAAATAAAATGTAGAATAGAGAAGGCTAGGAGTGCATTCAATAATATGGCCAAACTCTTTAAAAGCCACAATCTTAATCTGGAGATAAAAGTAAGGCTTCTACGATGTTATATCTTCTCAATATTGTATTACGGAGTTGAATCCTGGACACTAACTGAAGCAATGGAGAAAAAACTTAAAGCCTTCGAGATGTGGCTATACAGGCGAATTCTAAGGATATCATGGACAGACAAGATAACCAACGAGACCGTATTACGAAGAGTGGGCAAAGAAAGAGAGGTGATGTATACCATTGAAAGGAGAAAGTTGGAATATCTCGGACATATAATGAGAAACAGCACTAAATACAGATTACTGAAGGTAATCCTACAGGGTAAAGTATTCGGAAAGCGAGGAATTGGGAGAAAGAGAATATCATGTTTGAAGAACCTGAGGAAATGGTTCTCCACAACAACAACGAATCTATTTAAAGCATCAGTTAATAAAATAATTATAGCCAGAATGATTGCCAATATTCGGAACAAATAGGCACTGAAAGAAGAAGAATTACCTGTGCAGGGATGTTACCTGGACCCGGTGTTTTGTTATTTTTTCGAGACCTACATACGTCTTCCACTTCTTTCGTTGTTATTCGTATGGACGAAGTTAAAATATTTATATTTTGTGTTTTGTTCATGTCTTTAACTTGTGGTCTATCTTCCCTTGGAAGTTTCTTAAGATATTGGTCCCATTCATCCATTGTTATTGCTGTCACTATGTCTCTCTTTTTATTTTGTCGTAAAGATTTTAAGACTCTCCAACTTTCTGTGCTTCTTCGTCCTTCTAGATGTGAATTTACCATGTTACATATAGTAAATAAAATAATCACTCTCTGGTCTGAGGTACAACATAAGGTTGTACCTTGAAACAACTAGGGTTGTACCTTGGAACAACTCCTTATTGTACATATTTTGTAAGAGAAAACAATACAATGTAACTTAAAAATAAACTTCATTTAACAATATAAATAACCGATAAACTAAACAGCATTGTATTGACTAAAATCAACTGCAAATATAAGTTGTGCCTCTTGCCGTTTTGACAAACCTACAGATTTAGGTTCAGGAAGACGCAGTATCACATCAGAGTTGTTGACAAAAGAAGGTTCTTCATTACTAGGTATGAAACTTCTAGATGCTACCGTACCATCAATTTTCTTGTAAAATTTAACGTTATAACCGTCATCTAGGACATTAATAACTTTAGCTACAAAATGTCGCTTTATTTTTTTTGTAGCAAATTCTACTAAAACAAAATTATTACTGTTACTTTGATAATTTTCTTCATTTTCTTTGTCTTCCGCTTCTGCTATAATTTGCTCAAAAAACTCTTCTTCATCTGATGAGGAATCTTGCAGTGTAAAACTTACTTCACTTTCATCTTCGCTACTTTCATTTTTCTTTTTGTTTATTATTTTCCTTTTAGGGATTTCTTCTGGCTCTACTTCATTAAATACTTTCCGCTTTATCTCTCTTTCACACTGTTTAAACTTCTCTTGGGTTTTTGCCGATTTACATTGTTCTATTTTATCTTTAACAGGTGTATCTGTTAAAATTGCACTTCTTACCTTTCTTCTCTTTCTATTAGTTTCTTTTCTTGGTGCTGCCTTCGGAAAAGGCCTAATTTTATGTGGAGAAACTATAATTGGGTTGTCTCGACTTGTAGATGGTGTAGATATTATTTGCTGGCGGTTATTGTCATCGTTATTAGCATCTTTATTACTTGCAATACTATTAGAAGTTTCTGGTTCGAACTGTTCAGGTCGGTCGGTGACGTAGGCCTATAAAAATTCATCTTCACTAAAAACAGTGTCATTAAATGGCCAAATTCCTGTCACAAGAAAGCCTTTCACAATATTGTTAATCGAAAAAGCCTTCGAATATGCCATTCCAATTAGTTCGGAAATGTCGTAAATGCTTATAGGTTTTCCTGGATTATTAACCACTGATTTGAAGCTTGGTTAAAAAACGTTTTATATGGACCAAAAACAGTTCTGTTAAGTGGCTGTAGCTTGTGAGATGTATGGGGCGGTATAGTTAATAATACCACCCCATTGGCTTTTGCCAAATTGATTGCAGGAACCGAGATATGTGATTCATGGTTGTCACATATAGGAAGCACTTTGTCATTTATGGATGGCTTAACGTGAGCTATAAAGTGTTTCAAATATGTTATAAATAAATTTTTGTTTATCCATCCTGAAGGATTTGCAACCCCTAATGCTCCAGAAGGAGCACCCTTTAGCATGTGTTCCTTAAAGTGTACTCTAGGGAATATAAGCATAGGGGGCACCTGATTACCAACTGCATTTATAGCTGCCACCATAGTTATGTTGACTCCTCGTTCTCCAGAAGTTACGCTTCCTATTTGTTTTTGACCTTTTTCTGCTAATATTTTTGGAGGAACATGAACGGTAGTATTACCAGTTTCATCAACATTATATATTTTGTTTGCCTCAAAATGGTAGCGATCGTAACAACTTTTTAAGTTAACAAAGAAGTTTGAAACAGTGTTTGTGTTGAAAGCAGTAGCTCTTGCAATACTTGTACCTTCTGGTTGTCGTAAAGCTACAGTTGGATGTCTATGTAAAAATCCTCGTATCCACTCTCTCCCAGTTTGTTTTTCTTCTAACCAAGGATTTGGAATTTTCTTATTATTTTCGTTAGCAAATTCGTATGCTAATTTTTGAAGTTCTTTCTTTGGTAGGCCATATTGTAACTTGGCCGCCGTTTTTAGATAATCTACCAATAGATGTTCTTCATCGTTTGTGAAAATTCGCTTATGTGCAATTTTACTTTTATAATTAAAAGTTTTCTCTTGTGAAGTTTGATGAATCTTTAAATGCCTAAGCAAAGTGGTTTTTGAAATATTATTTTCTTTCGCTGCTTCACATATGGAAAGATGCCGAACATCTTCTACAGCGGCTTTAAGGTTTTCTAGATTAACTGCAGGACGTTTGGTTCCCATCTTGCTTCGAGGCATTTTCTAAAAACAAAAAAATATTTTATTTTTAGAGCCGTATTTTGTCTAACAATGAGAGCATGTACCTTGGACCACTCCAAGGTACATTTCTTTTATTGGACCAAGGTACATTAAAAGCAGATACCATTTTCCAAGTTCATATTGTGTTTTAGGTTATGTCTAAAAATTCGGCCAGTACTGCACTTAAAAGAAGAATATACAACAAACTTACCTGCACAGGAACTGTTACCCAATATTAAGAGAAAATTCAATAACACTTAAAAATGTAAAATCAAAATTTTTACTTTCACACTGAATGAAAAAATATCAAGACCTACAGTGAAACAGAATGATCTTATTTCAACAACAACAGGATGTGGCGACATCTCTTGGAACCACTACGAAACTGAAATAATGCGAGATCACACAGATTTCTACAAATACGCAAAATCTCAATTGGTCCAAGGTACATTTGGTTCAAGGTACAACACTTTCCCCTATCAATGATATTGCAAAACTTACCTTCATATCATCGCGAATTGAATGCAATTAAACTAATATGGAGTAAATAGATAGTTAATACATATGTAGCAGGCAAAAACTCTACCTTTAAAAAGGCTGCGTTTTATAAAAACAAAAATATCTACGTACCTAAAATTCCAATATTCCCTATCTGCTATTGTAAGATTTACATGTTTTTGACTGTATTCTGTGCCTCTAAAGTTTATTAGAAATATTTGATGTCCTGATTCGATGATCTTATAAGCTAAAATTATATTAAAATATTGAGGAAGTTTAAGCAAGACTAAATAAATTTACTGAAAACGATTTTTGGAAAAATTGGATTTTTCTGTGACGCAAAAATAATAATTATTTTCTTTTTCTTGTTCGCAAACTATTAGAGAAGTCATAATAAAACCTTTGCTGCAATTTAAATTTGAAAAAGTGATATGTACTGCAAAATAAAATTTAAACAAAAGTGAATTTATTTGGTTTTGCTTTAACACTTTGACTGCCATGAGAAGCATGCCGTGATGCACGGCGAATTTGATTCTGTTGCCGCGAGAATCAGTTTTGATTCTCGCTTATATGTTATTTATATGGGATAGAAATATGTCCGACTGGAAGGACTCTGTATTTTTCACTATAGCGGCAGTCTAATTGTTAAATAACTGGAACTATTTCATTTGGCTCACGGTTTTATTAGCAACAATTAACGCAAGTATAATTTTTATTAATAATACAAAAAAGGCATATGGCATTTGGTAGACTAACAGCACATTTAAATATAAAGTGCAAACTCTTCTTCTAGACAATCACACTCATTTCTTAGCTCTTCTTCTTCTTGAGGTCCTTCCTCAGTACGTTCAACTTGATTCTTCTCCTTCTTAGAGTGCCGTCTTCCTACGGAGGTAGGCAATCATAATGGCTATTTTTATTTTTGAACTTGCTGTTCTAAACAAACCAATCGATCTGCATTGATACCAATCACGTAGATTCTTTAACCATGAGTTCTGCCTTAGGCCAACAGATCTTTTTCCTTAAATCTTTCTCTGCATTATGAGTCTTAAAATTTCATATTTTGGTCCCCTCATCACATGGCCTTGGTATTCCAGTTTTCTGGTTTGTATAGTGGTGATTAGTTCTGTTTCTTTACCAACCCTCTCCAGTACTTCTTCTTTCGAACTAGAGTTCGAAACCAACATTTGCTTACGTATGTGTAAAGGTGATTCTTAGGCTTCTGTTAAAACTGCTTACTAAATTAATTATTAAATTAATTAATAAATTAATACAACCATAATTCAGAATGGATCAGATGTAGGATCTATAAAACATTAAAAAGATATGTTAATCTGCACCCCATCTTTTTTAGGAAATGAGTCGCAGAAGGTTAATTCCACACTCGCACTTTTTTTACAAACTTTATACGGCTGCACCACAAGAGATTTTTTTATCTAGGATCATACCTAAATACTGTCGCTTCATTTCTAATTTATATTTTACATAATATATATATGATACGTTTGATATATTTGAAAATGTTTCCCTTACCCAACGATGAATTTTGTAAAAACAAAAACCCTAGGCTATTTGTCAAGATAGCATGACCCAAAATAATTGGAGTTGGATTGGTAATATTCCTATAACCTCTAATAATAGTTAGTCCATAACCATCATCTGTAAATATCTCATATTCCTCAGCGGTGAAACCCCAATTTCGCAGTATTTGCGTCTAAAAAGAAAAATAGTTTTAAACAATTTAAAATGAAAAATTTTATTGGTTAAATCTATACCATAGTTTAAAAACAACGAAATAAAAAGTCCTGATGTAAAATGGTGTACATTTATTATAAAATTTAATTATCTGACTTTAAGGGAAGTTACACATCTCTGCTAAAATAAAAGGACAATACAGTTCTATGGTTTATACCAGCCCTTCATTTGAACACAGATGTGTATGTTTCCTTAAAAAGAAATCCAGTAACATCGACATCGTTTTACAATATTTTAAAAGATTTACAGTACTAGGAGATATTATATTGTAGGCAGTAAACATTTTTTTGAAGACAACCAAAAACATATGGTACCTATTCATTTAATCCACCTGCATGAGTTGGTTACAGGGTTTCAAAATTCTGGAATAAGTATTACCAATGAAAGGATCTTTCACATATTTATTAGGTCTTCGGTATAATAAACTACCACAATTTTACAATCATTAACTTAGTTCAACCCTTAATAACCCTTCCCATTCCAGTTCAACCTTGCCTCCTTTAGAAACACAGACAGATTTAAAATAGCAAAGAGTCTCGCTAGGCAAACGTACTTTCTCTCTCTTACCCTTTTGCTTATCGAGAAGAACAGTCACTCTCTAGGCTGTTATATATCGCTGAATAGACATTCTCTACTGTTAACTGCCGCTAACTAATTATCTCTCTCCCGCTTTTAGTTACGCGAAAAATACCGCAAATACTATTTTAAATCGCGTTCAAACAAAAATGTGCTCTACCTCGTGATCTCAGTGTTGGTACCGCGAAACACGTGTTCAGAAACCGGTGCCCGGACAGATTCAGCGTATGAATAACAACCGCGAGTGAAAGCATGTTAATACCGCGGTCGTGTGGAGCACCAATATTGGTAAGACTTTGTATAAACGTAATTTGCTATTGTCTGTATAACCCTTTACTGCATATCCGAATTTATTTGAACCAACCCGATGTAATACAGTCCTCATACATTTTTGTACACAGAAGAATCATTTTTTTTTCGGGTTCCAAAGATCTTAAAGAACATAAGAGGTGGAAGTGCTAGATGCAAGTCTGATGCCCAGATATTGATCTTTGCCCATTGTGAAAAATGGACGGTTTTTAGACTACCTTCATACGTATTTATCAAGAACTTATCCTTCGGTGTCAAGTTTTGTCATCTACATGACACGTGCCACATGGTACCGGCTACAAGCACCTGCCTGAAGTAACGTCTGGAAAGAATCTAATTCTATGTTTCACAGATTTTTATTTTTGATCTTACTTTCGAGACTTAAAATAATTGCGGCATTGCCTATGAGAAAAACAATGGATTTTTCTTGACTATCTTCTGTGGAAACTAGAGAGAAAGCCATTTGAAGTTCATTGTTCCCAAAAATAAGACTTATTAAATTTTATTCCTATCGAAATTGTTTGTAATTTTAAAAACTATAAATTACTGTCCATGTTCTACTAATATAACAATACTAAAAATATAACATAACATTACGTGTAAATAAGAGGAACTAGAACTAGAAGAAAGAACTAGATATTATTGTTTTAAATATTTTACCCAATGGGCGGAAAAATGGAAAAAAACTTATCCAATGGCAATTTTTTCACGTATATGCAAGTTTTAATTTTTTAATTTAACGAACTTTGATAATAGAATTGTTTGACTATAAAAAAATGTTTATTAAAGAACCTTTTACAATTAAAAATATATATCAGTGAGAATTTTACCACAAAAAGTTTTTTCCAAGTATATTATATTTCATATAGTTATGTTCTCTGTGTGAAAATGAAACTCACCGTATTTAATTCTTCGTCATTATTTTCCCAACAGTTTTCATTTGTGTAATAATCTAACTCTGTTTTACAAACAGTAATTGATACAATACATTTTAAAGAAAAACATAACGCTATAAAACTGATGTAAATTTTAAAACACATTTTTTAAAATGTTTCATCTACACGTTTTCAACACCGTTATTGAGTTTGAACAAAAAACAATGTTTATTTTATCATAAGCCATTACTTATTCATTTTAAAAAAATGAAAGTTTATAAATTTACAATGTAAAACAGTTATTTAATCTAAAATATTGGCCTAATGATGCCGTTATGCAAAATTATTTTTAATTTGCTATTTAGAATATCAAATTACCATATCGTATCTGAAGAAATTGTTACGTAGTTTTTATATTAGGTATAAAATTGGCATTACTATGTTTTTTGTTTCTTTTTTTTTTTAATTATTGATCTTAAGTAAGTCTAACTAAGGAGCATCAACGGCCTATATACACAAGAGATGGAGATGAGGAAAGACGCAAGCCAAGGTTGTATTCTTTACCCACTACTCTTAAACATTTATGTACAAAAGATATTTCAGTTTGTATAAAAGAACGAAACATACATTAAAATAATGGTCTTAATAGTAATTATTTATTTTAGTTATTTTTACCAAGAATTTATAAAGCCAGTGTAAGATCAATAATGACATATACCTCAGAAACAAGACCCCATACAGTCACAACGCAAAGGCTATTCAAAACGGCAGAATGAGAGTACTGAGAAGAATTACAGGAAATATGGTAAGATATTGAAAGAGAAGTGAAGATATTAGAAGACAATGTAACGTACAGTGTATAAATAAATGGACTTCTTCTTTTGGTGCCTATCCTCTATGGATCTTGGCAATTACGTTGGTCCACACTACTTTGTTGACAGCTGCTCTAAATAGATGTATGGTAGTCATTTCTGCCCACTGTTTGATGTTCTTCAACCACGATATCCTCCTGCGCCCTTGAGATCTTTTGCCTTCTATATTGCCTTGTAAAATTAGTTGAATTAATTGATACTTCTTATTGCGCATCACATGCCCTAAGTATGTCATCTTTCTGACTTTATTGATACGCATAATTACCAGATCTTTATTCATACGTTGGATCACGGTGTTATTGTAACATGATAGATATAGGAAATTCTGAGCATGCGGCGGTAGCACCACATTTCGAAGGCTTCTAATTGTTTGGATGTTGCCTCTGTCAAGGTCCAGGCTTCTACTTCATATAAAAGGGTAGAAAATACACAGCATTTGAAAATTCGTGTTCTTATATCAATGTTCAGGTGCATATTACATAAAATCTTCCTGAGGCGATTGACGACAGATCTCGCCTTTTCTATACGACGTCTTATTTCCTCTGAGTGGTCCTATTCCTTATTTAGGCTGCATCCACGATATGTAATTTTGTCGACTATTTTCAAGGGTTCATTATTATCTGTGAATTAGTGCTGTATTACGTCATTTTTAATTACTACAAGAATTTTAGTCTTCTTACAGTTTAATTCCATGCCGTATCTATCACAGGCTTTCCCTACACGGTCTAGTAATGTTTGCAGATCCTTCGCATCATCATCAATCAAAACCGTACAGTGAGCATATCTTAAATTGTTTATGATTTTACCATTGATTTTTATACCTTCTCTTAAACCATAAATTGCTTCGAGTTTTCTATATATGCGATAGTGAATAACAGAAGGAAGGATTTTGAGTGCACATCACATGAAGCTTATAATTCTGTAATCAAAGCATATGGTGGCATTTGCCTTTTTGGGGAGAAGGATAAAGGTGGAAACTAACCAATCCGTAGGAAATTCTGCAGTTTCATAGATTTTTTTTAGTAAGTTCGTTAGGATTTTGAGTTGGTTATTTTCAAATAGTTTTATTATTTCAACTTTTATGTTATCAGGTCCAAGTGCTCTGTTGGTTTTTATTCTTTTTATTGCATATGTTACTTCACTAAGCGTTATTTCTGGTCCCGAACACCCAGAAACACTGTTTATTGTCTTTCTTCTTTTAATAATTCTTCCATGTATTGCCTCCATCTCTCAAGTATTCTCTTATTTTCGTAGAGCAGATTGTTGTGCTGGTCTAGTATTAAGTCGTGACTTCGTGATCCGTTTCCTACCGTTTAGGTTTTGATCTTTTTATGTAGGTTAAAAGTGTCATGCTTCTGTTCTAGGGATTCTATTTATATGCATTGATCTTGTAGTCATGATTCTTTAGCTTCTTTTATCTTTTTCCTCATGAGTTTATTTATTTCTTTGTACCTTTCCTTATTCTTATTTCTGTCTTTTCTTCGTTCTTTCATTAGCTGTAATATTTCGTGTCTCATCCACTGCTGTTTCTTTATATCTTGTATCCAATAAATGGACACAAAAAAGAATGGAATAACCACATAAGCAGAATGGAGGAGATAAAGTAACAGCCTTCCATAGTGGCATAAATGCATCAATGAACAATCAGAATTGCTTATAAAGAGATAGAAGACGGAAACAATAAAGAGAAGCTGCAAGATTTAGTAAGTACTAAATAAAATGAGAAAGGAGTACAGCTTTAACATCAACATAGCAAAAACCAAATACACTTCATCTAATTTATATAACGATGCACGTCATCGGCGTCATAGCCTGTGACGTCATATAATACCAACACGAAATATTTAGGGTTTAGGTGTGTTCTTTTTAGAATCACTTTACCGAGTACACTGGCATTACATCCACTAGGCATATTTTGTTATATACGCGTAGAAATAATATTTAAAAATTTCTATTAATGTCAACTTAAAGAAATACACAATAATATGTTTCATTTAATTTGTATAAATCCATTATAAAGAGTTTTTATCAAGAACATTTGTTCGGAACACACTGTAACAGTAATCGAACGAAGGTAAAATTTTGGCATAAATTGGTAACACTTATTTGATAGTTGCGGTGTTGACACTTTTTGTACTTTATTATTTTGAATTTTAAAGTGAATACCTCTTGTTTTATATTTTTACCTATTTAATAAAATCTGTTCTTTTTAGAACATTATTAGTGTGTTTTATTTAAAAAATGTCACGTAAGAAGTTAAATAGTCGTTGTAAAGAGATGGTAATACTTTTGCAATAATTATGTGACCTATTTGATTTAAAATGGAGTCAGGATTTTTTATAGTTTGGCAACTATGTCAACTTTGATCTCTGACGTAGATAATGACGTAAGTCGTTATCTAAATTAGATGAAGTATATATAATTATCAGCAGATAACCCCATATTAAAGTTCAGTTAAATATTAATAATAGATCTATTGGACGAGTTGAAAGAATACCATAAAGCTACATTAAACAGCAAGTATAACTGTTACACCTGGTAGTAAAGATACAAAGCGCGATGGATCGAAACGTCTTTGCTTAATTTGACGAGTACCTCTTTCACTGTGAACTTTCTTTAGAACCAGGGACTTGAAATAATATATATGGTCCATCCTGATGTACGGAACTAAGACCTGGTCACTTAAAGTGAGACCTCTAAATCGTGTGGAGGCTTTAAAAATAAGGTGTCTCAAAAGTCTGCTTAGAAAAGCATGGAAAGACAATGTAGGAAATGGTGAGAATCTAAGCAGAGCTAATACACAAAGAGAACTGTTAGATCTCATTAAGCAGGGAAAAGTTTTAAAGCAAATATAATCTCCTAAATGTAATCTTAAGGGTAAAGTAGAAATCAACATTAATAGTATAGAGACATAAGAAAGTGCGGCATACCTGACGTCAGTACGATAATAACAAGCGAAACTATAATAACTAAGAACAACGGAAGAAGGATCTCTGTTTTTACGACAGTTTTGGCGACGAAAAATGTAAATGTTAACCAAATTAACTTTTAGATTTAACAGTTGTTACTAAATGATCTGGTATCAGTCAACAGTATTGTTAATATAGACGAAGGCCCAAATTATCCAAAATAATTTTTAAATTCTTTTAATATATCGGGGACGCCATAAGGGATTTCATGGTATTTACTAAACTCTGTTCAATAATTTATGCATAATATTAGTTGTATAATGACCAAGCTACAGCGAAGAGTGGCCATGTAAGCTGGTTGGTTTATAATTCTTAACATTTACTACTATTTCGTCGACAAGGCAACACTGTATGAAAATAACAACGTAAAATTTGATAACGCGCAACGTATTTAGAAGAAAAACACTAGTACCTTAAGGGTTTTTTTTTTAATTTTGTGACAATGTATTTTTCTGATACCCAATAAAAATAAAAATATTTTATCATTAATATGTGATCTTAGGCTAGGAACTATTTTATTTAATTTACTTAAATTGTTTTGGAACTTTTAGCTAATATTTTTTCACTTTTTATTTGCTATTTAAAGTTTTTCTTGTCTAATTTAGGCTTTAGCATTACTATAGTAAAATTAATTAAGCGATGCAGGAAGATGTAAACAATAAATCGTGTCCGAACCGGTATGAGCTGCCGACAACGTCGGTAGACGAAATAAAGATGGACATTTCGGTCAGTTTTTAAATATTTTTGAAGAACTGTTACTTTCATTTATGCATAATATATTATTTAATTTTATAAATCGGATTATTTTTTCACTTACTATGTATTCAGTGATAACATTAATTTATTTACTATGCAATAATCACGAATATTTGAGAAAAGAAAAAAAATAATAAAGTGTGATAATTATACTGTAACTTATCGGAACGAGTAGACTCACTTGGAACATCTTTAACAATTATCTGTTAAATTTATCGTTGTTTATATGCCCTGCATCGCTTAATGAAATAAGGTATAGTCTTGTTCCTGTGTTTTATTTTGTCGTTTATTATTACTTTCAGCAAACAATTCTTTACGAAAATCTTTGTTGCAGATAAACGGCAGTTATCAGCAGCGCATTCAACCCCACGACTATAACATGAAGGTCAGTAGCACTTTCTCGGCCACCAGAAGGGTCCCTTTAGTGACGATTTCCGGCATTGAACTGGCCGTCGACGAGAACAGCTTCCAAGGTGGGAAAGCTCGAGTTTCCTGCATCGCCAATGTTTTTCATTTATATAGACGAGAAAAGAGTATCGTATTGGACGAGGACAGGCCGCGACCTAGACCATCTTCCGTCTTGGGGACACGGGATG